TTTTCTTCCGTTTATTTTTTGGTATTTTTGCCCATGACTACTTTGTAAATATGATAAACCATACCTGTGACTCCCAGGTAGCTTGGATTACCCGTTTGTACTACTACACCTGGCTTGTTCTTTGAAATAGTGTCTCACTAACTTGGTATGTTTTTCGTTGTGGCGAATTTTGGCCAGGGCTGATCTAGAACTATGATCCTTCCTAATCTCCACCTCCCAAGTAACTAGTATTACAGGCATGAGCTACTATGCCCAGCCCTCCAAAGACAGCTTTGACATCAATTTTTCAGTGAATTTTGTGGGACCTGCTAGTATAGTAAAGTCCACTACGATACTAGTAGATTCAATTAAATATGAATTGAATGTATATAGTTTTTGAAGATACTGCTTGGAATTGTTGGAGATAGCCAAAAATGATTATAAATCCCTGTGATAACTCATTTACCCCCACTGTATATGTAGGCCAAGTATACCACTTGTGGATCCTTCACCATTTCTATCCCAGGAAGGCTTTTTGGGCAACTAAGCTGGACTTCTATGTATTTGGTATGTCTTTATTCTCTTACCTCACATGTTAACAAATTTGGAAGTAAGACAAAAATTAAAACACCACCAGTACCATATCACCTCTCTAGATTGATCTGTGCCTACTCAATGAGAAAAACACATATTTGATTTTTTTGTGTGTGTGGAAGATCACAGTTATACTCTTGGTAATGGGAGAGAGCTGACATAAAGATGGTGCTTTTTCATAGTCATTGAGCCTAAAAGGAACTTCTAGTGTATATTCATCTTTGTCCAAGTAGTAACTCTTTAAACTTACCAAAACAAATTGAGTCTTGGAGAGTCTCTCTCCCCACCCTTCCCCTTTCCCCCCTCTCCCCTTCTCTTACTCTTGGCTCTCTCCCCTCTCCTCTCTCTCTTCTCTCTCCTCTCTTCTTCCCCCCTCTCTCGTGTGTGCGTGTGCGTGCGTGCGTGCGTGTGTGTGTGTGTGTGTGTGTGTGATCTTTCAAATCTTCTATGGATGACCAATCAAAGGAAGCTTCAAAAGCATTGAGCAATGACAGTCAAGAAAGAGATTTAAGCTTACCTTATGCCAAACTAACAATCAAATTCCCATCAGCAAAGATTTGAAGAGGTGCTACTGGAGACTTGAACCTGAGCCACCCCTATACCCTGACTTTTTTTTTTGTCCTAGTATCAGGGCTTGAACTATAGGCTACTCACTCTCATTTGGTTTTTCCACTTGAGTTGTTTAACCCATGCCTCTAATCTGGCTTTTTGCTGATTAATTAGAGGTTGAATGGCAAGTCGTCTTCTACCTGGGCTAGCTATGAACTGATAGCCTCCTAGTCTCAGCATTTTGAGTAATTAGAATTACAGATGTGAGCTACCAGTGCCCAGCTCAGCCCTTTATGTTTTAGTTATTTTTCAGATAGTGTCTCATTCCCATGTATGCCTTTATTCTAGCATGAAATTTAAGTAGGCTGCACTGTGAAGAAGAAATGGCAAATGCAGATACTATTTTGCAAACAAATTTCTTGACTTTTTTGAATACCAAGCAAGGAAATAGCAGGGGGATCTTAGATTATTTCAACCATCTTTAGAAAGAAGAGACTTTCTAAATGTAGTCCAGGCTAGCTTTTCGTTCCTTTCGTTTTAAAAATATAGTTATTGAAAAGATGATGTACAGAGGGGATACAGTTACATAAGTCAGGTAATGAGTATATTCCTTTTTTAACAGTGTCACCTCTTCCCTTGTCAGGTTGGCTTTAAACTCAATTTTCTTACCTCAGGCTCTCAAATGCTGGGATTATAGGGCATGTATCGTCATAGCCAATAAGAAAAATTCTTCGGAAAAATACACATGAGCTGGAACTGCAAGTTTTCTGAATATGGACTATGAGTGGCTGTGGCATTGCAAGTTTTCTGAAGTGGTTTAAAAAATAAAAAGCAATAATTAAGACTGTATTTTTGTGGAAATAGTTTAAAGCCTTACTTAGCCTCTACAGTAGAGCAGTATATAATGGATCCAAAGAACTTGAATTTGCTTCTATGCCTGAATGTTTTTATGACCCCATTTCTACCATGATAAATAGAATTGTTCTCTCACTTGGATGCATATGCACTTTTGTATATGGATGGGTACAATCCCTACTTCATTGAACATAGGTTGATAGATGAAATCTTTATAAAACCAAACTCATTCATTCATGCTCCACCAGATTTTTGAGTTTTTGGTTTTTTGGACAGGAATCATGGAGAAGTTTCCTATATATTATTCATAAAGCCAGGATTTGCTTAGCAAGTTAATATCATACAAAGGACTCAGGAAGAATATTTAACTGGGAGAAAATACAACTTCCAATCAATTTATGGGCACATACTTTGTGATACAAACATTTGTAGTGCTAGCTGCTTTAATTGATATTGTCCTCAGAATTATTCAGTAATGTATGATTTTCAGTGATTGGATGCGTTTGATGCTTTTCCCCTATGGTTTGTTTGTTTGGGTGCTGGAAATTGACTCCAGAGCCTCATACATTTTTAGTACACACTTTTTATTTTGTCAGTCTTGGGGCCTGAACTGTGTGCCTGGGCACTGTCCATCAGCTCTTCAGCTCAAGGCAAGTGCCCTACCACTTGAGCCACAGCACCACTTACGGGTTTTTCTGCTTATGTGGTACTGAGGAATCGAACCCAGGGCCTCATGCATGCAAGGCAAGTGCTCTACCACTCAGCCACCTTCCCAGCCCTAGTACAAACTCTTTTTAACGGTATCTATACCCCTATAACAGAGAGCTAGTTCAGTTTAAGTGTATTCTGTGACCAGAACTGGCTGCAGAAACTTTTCTATCCTATATCTGATGGGCAAAAAGTTTTTGTTCTTATTCTGAAACTGTAGTGAATTAGGGGTAAAATTCATGGAGTTTCCTTGATGCCATGTGAAAATAAGTACTACATTTGGCAGGAAGTGGATTGACTTACTTGGAGTATCCCATTATGAAGTTATCTAGACATCCAGGCATATCCTGTGAGTAGACTTAGGGCTTCTACTTTCTTTTGATTTTCTGTTGGTGATATGGGGGATTGAACTTAGGGCCTCATACTTGCAAGGCAAGCACTCTATCACTTATGCCACATTCCCGGTCCTTTTTTTTTTTTTTTTCCTTTTTCATTATCCAGGCTGGCTTTGGAGCATGATTCTCCTACTTTCCTTCCCTCCCTCCCCCCCTCCCTCCCTCCCTCCCTCCCCCCCTCCTGTCTCTGTCACTGTCTCTCTCTGTCACTGTTTCTTTGTCTCTGTCTCTGTCTGTCTGTCTGTCTGTCTCTCTCTCTCTCTCTCACTCTCTGTCAGTTGTGGGGCTTGAACTCTGGGCCTAGGTGCTGTCCCTGAGCTCTTCAGCTCAAGGTGAGTGCTCTACAACTTGAGCCACAGTGCCACTTCCAGTTTTCTGGTGGTTTATTGGAGATAAGTCTCACGGACTTTCCTGCCCAGGCTGACTCTGAACTGTGATCCTGAGATCTCAGCCACCTGAGTAACTAGGATTACAGGCGTGAGCCACCAATGCCTGGCTACTTCTACTTTCTAAGTAGCTTGCTTTACAGGTATAACCATCACTCCTGGTTTGTTTTTCTTAATTTCTTAATTTCCATTTGCTTTTGGGGGTATACTACTTTAAATGTGAATTTTGAAAATAATACCATGCATGTAATTGTATGTATAAACATGTATATTAGTGGCACTGGAGTTTAAACTCAGAACTTTATGCTTTACAGACAGGTGTTCCTACTTCTGAGCCATGCCTCCAGTCTTCTGGTTTTGTCTTGTTCCTTTGTGTTTGGGGTTTTATTGTTTGGGTTTTTTCCCTAATACTGGAGCTTTATCAGGGACCTTGTACTTGCTCAGCTTTCTTGCTGCCACTTGAGCTACACCTCTAGCTCTGCTTTTTCTGGTTCTGCCTAGGCTGGCTTCAAGCTTCAGTACTCCAGTCTCAGCTTCCTGAGCAGCTAAGATTACAGGTGTGAATCACTGGGACTCTTCTGACATTGTTTGGGGTTTGGTTTTGTTGTTGTTGTTGTCAGTTTGGGGGCTTGAACTCAGGGCCTGCTGTCCCTGAGTGCTTCTGCTCAAGGCTACCACTCTACCACTTTGAGCCACAGCACCACTTCTGGTTTTCTAGTGGTAAACTGGAGATAAGAGTCTCTTCGCCTTTCTTGCTCAGGCTAGCTTTGAACCATGATCCTCAGATCTTAGCCTCTTACTGAGTAGCTATGATTACAGGTGTGAGCCACCAGTGTTCAGCTTCTGACTTGTTTTTGAGATAGGGTCTCACTAGTTGGTTTTTTCTCAGGGTAGTCTTGAACCTCAGTATTTCTACCTCTGCTTCCTGAGTAGCTGGGATTACAGGCATGAGATTTCATGCATAGCAGTGTTTATACTTCCTTACTTCCTGTGGTTGCTGTTTGTGGGGATTTTGCAAGAGGAACATCAGCATGCTGTATCCATACATTGAGATATTTCAGTATGCATTGTAGCTGTGTATTGAAAGTATTTGGGTATATATCATGATTTCAGTTGAAGTAGAGAAATTAACCAGAACAGACTCCATATTGTAGAAAGGAGATTTGGTGTACAGAAGTAGAGTTTCAGCTTTATCCTAGCATTGCTCTGGCAGTTGAAATAACTTTTCTTGATTTCCTTGATTGTAAAATTGCCTTGGGAGCCAGGACTTTTGCCCTTATACAATTGTGGATGGCTTTCAAAGGCCTTGTAAAGAGTTAGATAGCCAGAATAAATAGTTTAAGACAATATAGTATAATTAGAGTTTGACCAATGTAATATACAATAATATAAGACAAATGGAAGAAGAAAGATTATACAGAACTAATAAACTATTTCTTTGGACTTGTCTCTTTAGGTGGAGATGGAAAAAGCATTCAAACCTCCAAGATTGTCAGTAATCTAGAAAAATGAATATTTTATTTGTAAAGAGAGTATGATATCAATACTGGTACATGGTTATGTCCAAATGGAGAACCAGAAGCCATGGATGTCTATGTCAAAAGAAGCATTCATTGAAACAGTGGTAGGAAAGAAATACATTAAGCTTGTGCTCTATTTCAGCACTGGAAAAATTAAAACTTTACTGCTAAGTGACAATATTAAAGGTGTGACCCTTAGAGCCAGTGAAGGAAATCAGTATTTCCTGCATTTAGCTTTTCATAATAACGACTTTTTGCTTATTGAAAAATTATCCTTCCTGGATGCCCAAAAGTTGAAGAGTTTCTTTGACAGAGTCCAACAAAACAGACTTCAACCCATCACAATAGCCAACATGCAAAAGGGTATCTTTAGTGACCCAGACACACAGAACAGAGAGAGTATTGTGGCCAGCACAAGTGCACAGAATATCTGTGCTGCCACCACAGCCACAAAGGAGATCAGTAAGCCTTCACAGAAACAAGTTTCTAAGCAAACAAATATTGGATACTTTGAGGTAGCCAACAAAGCTAAAAATCTTGATCCAAAGATGCCTGTATTTCCAGCAACATCTACTAGTAAAGAGTTAGTCCAAAAACAACCTGAGAATAGGAAAAGAACCCTATCATGTGATTCAGACCACAATGAAAACAAGAGCTTCCTAGTAGACAATAATTTCATAGAACAAATGAAATCTAAGGAAGAGTCCTTCAAGTGTGAAAGCAGTTCAGATAATCAATTGAAGATGGAAAAGAAAAAGAAATCTGCAATTGAATTTTCATTTGTAACCAATTCTGTTGAAAATATTTGCCTAAAGGGCACTGCTTTTGAACCTGTCCCTGAGAAAAAATTTTTACCATATCTGTTTGGGTCCAGCTGTAATGAGGATGGCGTAGATTGGGATGAATTTGAGGTGTTCTTTTCAATGTATCCAGAGAAAATGTTGCGTGGTCTCCCCAATTTGGGAAACACCTGTTACATTAATGCAGTTTTGCAGTGCCTGTGTTCAGTGACACCATTTGTTAATGATTTACTTAATCAGGGTTACCCATGGTCTGAAATTCCCCATGATTCTTTCAGCATGTACTTGACACAGATACTTTTTTTGAAGGATATTTTTAACATGAAAGCCAAGGAGAAGGTACTTGTAGACATTAAAATTGCTATTTCAGAAGTAGCAAAAGTATTTTCTACTGACATGCAGAATGATGCTCACGAGTTTTTAAGTCACTGTTTGGATGAGATGAAGGAGACCATACAAACATTAAATGCAATTCAGGAAGCAAAAAATAAATGTGGGGAAGGAACTTTACCTAGACCAGCTTTTGCTGATAATGCTGCAACCCAAAGTCCCTTTTGTCCTGTTGTCGCTAATTTTGAGGTTGAGTTGCTGCGCTCTATTTTTTGTAAATCTTGTGGAAATGCTGTTCTCAAAACAGACCCAAATAATTATCTCTCCATTAACCTTCCCCAAGGAATAAAAACACGTCCTTTGTCTATTCAGTATGCTCTTGATCATTTCTTTAGTGCAGAGGAGCTTGAGTATAAGTGTGAGAAATGCAAGCACAACAGATCTGTTGCAGTGAACAAGCTCAATAAGTTGTCCAGGGTCCTTGTTATTCATCTGAAACGCTACAGTTTTAATGAATTTCAGTCATTAAAGAAGGATAAACAGGAAGTTATTGTTTCCAAATATTTAAAGCTATCTTCTCATTGCAACAGGAACACAAAATTACCTCCTCCCCTTAGCAAGAATGGGCATAGAAGAGATAATCAACTATTAAAAGGTTTTCAAAAGATGACTTTTGACCTGTTCAACTCACCAAACTCTTCAGAGTTTACCTCAAAATTCATGGATGAACCCATTGGATCAGAAAATGAATCAGAATCACAGAAATTAGTTCAAGGAGCAAGTAGTGAAGAACTGCAGAGTGACCTGGGAGGAGATAGTGATAGAACTGACTCAGGAGATGAGATGTTCTTTGAAGAAGAGCTCCTTGAAGAAGAGATCCTTGAAGATGAGTTCTCAGCTGGCTCAAAATATCAGAATGATGTTTCTGCTTCTCTGGTCCAAAAGGATGAACCTAAACCCTCCAGTAGCCCCGTTGCATGTCTTGGAGATGGTTTTATTGAAAAATTGTCTCAAAGTCCAAAACTAGACCAATATGAGAAGACAAATACATCATTGGAGTCAGATTTGCATAGTATGGGTGAGTGTTGGAGAGACTTATTTGAAGATAACCCTGTTATTCCAGACACATTTGAAAACAAGGGCAAACAGACCCAGATGTGTGATAAGGTAAGAATGAAGAAAGAAGCTATTCAACAGGCATTTACTCAGCGATGTTCAAAGCTGAATGCCCAGGGGCATATGGAGGCTTACTTGAATTCACCAAATTCTAAGAAGTCTGAAAAGGTCACAAAGAAAGAATCAGAAGCCAAGGATCCAATGATAAATGCTGATAAGGATGCTGCTTACACCTATCGGCTCATTGGTGTTATTAGCCATATTGGGAATACTCCCCATTCAGGCCACTATATTAGTGATGCCTACAACTTTAATAGGCAGAAGTGGTTTACCTATAATGACCTACATGTCATGAGTATTCCTGAGGTCAGTATGCAGGAGGCTAGGATTTGCACTGGCTACATCTTCTTTTACATGTATAATGAAACTTTTGAAGAATTGCTGGAGAGGACAGAGGATCTGCAGAGGTTTAGCCACAAGGCAGAGTCCTCTCAGAAGGAGTAAGAGGAACTGACTCCATGTTGCACAGATCTCCTTGATTGCCTCATTTCCTCCCTGTGAGGTCAACTCTAAAACTTTAACTAAAGATCATTTTGAAGTGATTAGCCCAAGACCAAAGTTCAAACATATACTATACCAGGAAATCTTTCTAGCACTGATATACCTCAGTCCCACAGTTCTGACTAGTAGACATTCTTAACTCCTAGAAGACTAGAACTGCGCATTTCATGTCTAATACTGCATTGGTTAGAGGAACTCATTAGAAAGCTAGAGTTTACAGCAGACTAGTAATCTAGAAATTCAGGGCAAAAGATGGAGATTCTGATGTTTCATAAAGTTAGAACCACTACTGTATAGTATGTATTGTGATAGATTTCGTTGTTAGACATTGTAATTGCCTCCTTTGTAAGGTTTTGATTATGCTTTTATGTTTCATACTTTTATACGTATGTTTCTTTTACAAACTTTTTAAGAAAAAGCAGCGTGGGAATGTAATTGCTAAGTGGTTGAGCATTTATCCAGCATGTGCAAGGCCCTGGGTACAATCCCCAAGCACCACTGAAACAAGATACATGCAAACAATCCACTGTTCCTCTGCTCATATTCAGTGATTTGGTAGAAAAATGTTATTGCTGGAACTGAAGCAACCATATCCAGTTAGATTCTGACAGTAATGACTAAATGCCACAGAAACCATTTGACTCTTCTTGGGCATATATAGATGATGACACTGGACAACAAGTCTAGTCTACAGTCAAGTCTACAGCTTGGCTTCTGTAAAAAGCCCTCCTTTTCCTCAATGCCAGAGAAGCTATGCATATATGCTCAGACTTTAAATCTTGTGGATCAAGAAGCTGATTTGCTCTCAAAGGATTGGCCCACTTTTCCTATTTGTTATAGCAGGTTGTTGGCCCGCAGTTATCTGAGTCCATGTTGGCATTTCAGCATTGTCAGAGAGACATTTGCATTGCCTAAAAGGAACTTTGTTACCAGGACTTTATCTGCAGAACATTGAACAATCCTACACAGTTAATGAAAGACTAAATCCATATTTCTCCTACATCTTTGTACCTTATAGCAGTGTCTTTGTTCCTTCAACTAGTGAACAATAAGTGCTTTGAAGTGGACTTCAAAGGAATTGAAAGACAAGTAACAAGACTTGCTATAGCATTACACAAAAAAACATGGAGCCTGGTGTGGTGTGGTACCCACCTGTAATCCCAGCTACTCAGGAAGTGTAGGTAGGAGGATCATAGTATGAGGCCATCTTCAGGCAAAAGGAACAAGTATCTGTGGACTTAAGTAAAAAGAGCTGATGTGTGACTCAAGTAGAGAGCTTGGTGAAAGGCCTTGAGTTCAAAGCCTAGCACCACCAATTATAAAAACAAGCAAAAGAATTCTATATGAAGAAATTGGAGTGTGCGTATTCTGTAAGCACATTGTGTAACCCACAGATTTAGTGATTCTCAAAGTACCAAACGTAACATTACTGTAATGCTTTTTCTTGCCTGTGAGATAGTGAATCTATAGTATGTTGCACCTTTGTTAGGAACAAATGACTTATTCTAAGAAGGCGGTGATGACTTGTACAGTGAGGCTTTCTTATGTCACATACAGGGACTGGTGTTCAGTCCCATCTTTACCAACAGCTGTGTAGTTAGGTAGTGCAACTGGATTAATTTAAGGATTTGTTGCTGATGTTCTCCACTCTAGTGACCTTTAAAGAAGTGAATTCAAAGTTAGTAGTGTGAACAAGTTAGATACTGCCCCTAAGGCTTGAGCATCCTATTGTTGGAAATGGGTAATATGTGTAAGAGTAGATTGGAACGATGCCTGAAGATTGCAGGGATATAGATATATGTCCCATTCTGTAGCAGTTGAGCAGCCGAAGATAAAGAGTGGAACTGCCTGCAGAGGAGGCAAACAGTGACAGTTTGGCTTCTAAATGGCAAGTTTTAGCATCATTTTATAATAGGTAGTTGTGATGATAACATAGACTTAAGTACTTTTTTCAAGAGTATAGGACTTGTTTGCAGCAGTATGAATAGACCAGTCAGTTGAGATTTAGTTTTTTGGAATGGAGTTTATTTCCTGAACATGCCCTTCAATACATTGTATTTATTTTTTTATTTTTTAAATTTTTTTTGTCGGTCATGGGGCCTGAATTCTGGGCCTGGGCACTGTCCCTCAGCTCTTCAGCTCAAGGCTAGCGTTCTACCACTTGAGCCACAGTGCCACTTCCAGCTTTTTCTACTTATGTGGTGCTGAGGAATTGAACTCAGGGCCTCATGCATGCAAGGCAAGCACTCTACCACTGAGTCACCTGCCCAGCCCCAATATATTGTATTTCCTAATGTAGGAAATACTGAAAAGTGAAGAGCCAGAAGGTGTTAACATGTATACAGGGATGATCTTGGGTGTATAAAAGGAAATTCTGAGTGGTTGTATACTATGCACATGTTATACTGTTATTTCAAATAAAAAATGGAAGTATTTCTTCAACAACTGAGTGGCTATTGATGTAAATTGGTTCTTTAGTTTATGGATCCATAAAAATAGCAAGTGAAAGAAAGGGTGCAGGTCCCTGTCCAGTTGGTCAGTGGACAAATGGGTATCAGAAAACCATGCTTATGATGTTTGTTTCTCTGCTTAACCAGATATTAAAAAGCAGCCAGTATTGGCTGGAAAATACAAGAAAAGTTCCCTGGGATAAACATGTTTCCATCAGTAGTGGGAACTATCCTCCATCCAGTGCTGAACCAGCTGCAGTAGCTAGCACCTAAAGAGGGCATATTTTCTTCTGGCACAACTCAGCAAAGCTAAAATTTACTAGGGCTTTTAGGCCCTAAGAGTTCCAATACCAGGTCTGACCACTTGTCCTTATCCATCAAATAAAGATACATGGTGAAGGGCGGAGAAAGGAGATATATTACACAACACCAGCATGCCACAGAAAGGCAGCAGTAAGCTGGATGCTGGTGGCTCACACCTGTAATCCTAGCTACTCAGGAGGCTGAGATCTGAGGATCGCCATTCAATAACAACCCAAGCAGGAAAGTCCATAAGACTTTTATCTCCAGTTAACCACCAGAAGACCAGAAGTGGCACTGGCTCGACTGGTAGAATACTAGCTTTGAGCTGAAGAGCTGAGGGACAGCGCCCAGGCCTAGAGAGATCAAGCCCCATGACCGACCAAAAAAACGAGCTGGCTTGCGGGTGCAGACGTGTGTGAGGTTGTATAGATAATGAGCTAGGGATACAGAAATATGCACAATGATTAAACGACCCTGGTCAAAGTATGGCATAACCTGGTTGAGAACTTTGGGGATCCTAGGGAACTGGATAAGGCATGGCAGGAGTTCCTTCAAGAGACAAGGGGCTCTGTGCAGGACCAGATCATCAGGAGTGTCCAAGTCTGCCCTTTTTTGGGTGGACTTACTTAGTCTTTATTTGATACAAGGCTATGAAGGCCTGGACATACAGAACCTTAAAGTTTTCTACAGAATAAATCTAGCTGTAAGATACAGTTAGATGGCCTCATAAAGGCCATTGTTGATCCCTCAGATTATATTGAGGAATCATTTTTTTTGTCAGTTATGGGGCTTGAACTCTGGGTTTGAGTGCTGTCCCTCAGCTCTTCAGCTCAAAGCTAGTACTCTACCACTTGAGCCACAGCACCACTTCTGGTTTTCTGGTGGTTTATTAGAGATAAGAGTCTCATGGACTTTCCCACACAGGCTGGCTTTTAACCATGATCCTCAAATCTAAGCCTCCTGAGTAGCTAGGATTACAGGTGTAAGCTACCAGTGCCTGGCTGTGTTTGTTGTCCAGATGAAATTGGTCCTGGATCCATTCTAGGGGACAGTCTGAGGGACTAGAAGATGCTCTGCCCATTTTGCCTTGTCAGGAAAGATGACATCAATAAGAAAAATGCTTGAGCAGGAGCCACAGTGAAAGTGGTAGAATGTAGGCCTTGAGAGAAAAAGCAAGAGCATAAGGCCCTGAGTTCAAGTCCCACTACTAGCACGAAAATAAATGGCTAAACAGGAAGGTATTGGCACATACAGATTGGCAACCATCCGCGTGCCCTGTAGTCCCAATTATCCCCAGAGAGAGTTCTGGGGCATCCTGGGGAACCCTACTTCTAGTGATGGGGATATCTCTAGCCTTAGATGAATTCCAATGTGGCTAAGAACAAAGGGTTAAGCCTCCATGCAGTGTCCTATGTATAACTCTCCTGACTTGGATGTGTTCCCATGCTCTTTACATCCTTCCTATTACCTATTTTTTCAGGCTTGATACATTTTAGAAAAGATTATGTTTGAAGTGTGGACTAAGAAAGTAAGGATGGAGTTTTTCTTAGATATAATCTAGGGGAAGGGAGCCAGGGTAATGAAGAAAGTGTCAATTCTAGAAAATTAAGCCCATCAATCCATTCCACATTTTCCAGCAGTTCCCAGTTTTGAAGGTAGGGTGACCCTTTGAATGAGTGAAAATTTCCCCAAAGATGACTCATAAGATAGACCCAATATTGGGAAAAATTAGCCCCATAGGTCTGCATATCAAGCAAAGTTTGATCTGACAGTTTGTGCAAACATTCCTTTTTCATCAGATGGAATATGAAAGGAGTGAATGAAGGCAGATTGGATATGAAAGGAAGTCAGGCCCCAAGCAGGCACAGTAGAGAAGAAAGAAATTCAGTGGATGTTTATAACCTAAAAGTGGTTTGCTTCTCCTAATTGACATTGAAAGCTTTCATACATAAGATTATTAGTATCATAGCCAGAGCTAGTTGACTCATGGCCAGGAATTATTAGCCCACACATAAGCACTCTGGTTGATTGTGTGTGTGTGTGTGTGTGTGTGTGTGTGTGTGTGTGTGTCAGTCCTAATGCTTGAACTCAGGGCCTGGGTGCTGTGTCTGAGCTTTTGTGTTCAAGGTTAGTGCTCTACCACTTGTGCCACAGCTTCGTTTCTGGCTCTTTTGGTGGTCAATGTCTTAC